TTTTTTTTTTTGAGAAACAAGAGAAAGCGTAGAGAAAAAGTGATCTTTTGGCGAACTTACGAACGGTTTTTTAGTAACTGTTTGTTGAAATAACAAAAAATTATTTTAACAGATGATCAAGAAATTAATTTCTAGAAATTGTCTCATCATTATCCAAATTTGAGCCAAATTCCGCTTCGAATATCGCAAAGCGTTACAGAAAGTCCGTCGTTGAAATCAACAGATTCATCGCAGACGTCGACATTTGGTGTACGACCGGTAATACCAGCGTCATATACGGTGGATACTGATTTGAACAGTTTACATTCCAGCATATCTACAGAAAAAAATACTGCTGGTGCTGGTAGTGGTGGCGGTGGTGGTTGTGGTGGTGCTAGTAATGGTGGTTATTTCTTGAAAAATAATGATTTTTCTACAACATTTAATGTATCACCTCAATGTCTAACAAATATTAGTAACAATAACAAAGAAGCATACAGTATATTGTGAAATTTTTTACAAAAGTTTTCACTTTTTTTTTCTTGTAGATATAGACTTTTTTCCTTGTTTACTGTTTTCTCATTCAGGATTTAACAACACTTAGGTTTTGTTATATGTTATCTATGTATTTGAGAAATGTAGATATAGTGTATCAAAATTCGCCAGTTTTATTCGTCTTCCAATATTATTCCTGGTCATCCTGTTTCCGTTGCATAGCTAATTTAATTCACAAATCCATAACAGATGTGCTAATCTTCAAATTGTATACAATATAGCAAAGTTTCTTCTCTACTTTTTCCCATTTCTTCTTTCTGAACCTCACTCCTCGTATTTCCTCCCTCCTCCTTCCAAGAAAAAGAATGAAAATTTTAGATATAAAATTTCTGTATCATTTTCTTTTGTTAATTCTTTTGCTTTAGGCTTTAAGTTTATCAGTTTATGATTAGCAACAATAGAACAGAAGAAGAAACAAAGCAAAAAGTTATTGTAGATTAATACTAATTTTTAAGACGTACAAAAACAAATGTGCATTGATTTATTTGTTCTTTTCTTTATTTTCATCTAACATTTATTGAGTCTTTCTAACTATTTTTATACTGTTATCTATTGTTTTTTTTTTTTTATTTGATGTTCTGTTACCTATTGTTCTTTGTCAATTTGTTCAGTTCTGTTATATACATATACATAAGTGTTTTTTCTAA